ATAGAAAAAAGGTTTTTTCTTAACAGCGGTCGACCCTCGGCAAGCAATGACAAACTTCAGAGTGTATTGACTCGAACCTTGCATAACTCGACTAGCACTCCAGAGCTTTGCTCTGTCGGCCATTGCGACTGTTTGAGCGGCGTGAGCAAAGTGACATACTATTTCCTGCATTTAACTACAATTCCTACTTAAAGTAAAGAAATTACTACTCGATTAAAAAAAGTCAAGTAATTGTATCCTTACTTTAAATATATAAGCTACTAAACTTATGTACATCAATTTATTTGATTTAAGACAATTTGGGTTTAGTGAAATATTGTTCGCTATTTTTACTTGAACTTGTATGAAGCTTCCAAACTTTTAGGAAATATCTTTTTTGAGTGTAGCCAAAGCACTGCAATCAGTATGTCTATTTTGCCCTCAGCTAGCACTATAAATTTCAGAATAGATTCCGGAGGTAGAGAGTGTATATGTATGCTCCTCTCTTGGCCATTGATGACCTATGCTTCTTTGCTTCCTATGTGAAACTGCTCTACATACCTGATGGAAGTGGACTAGATTCCTAGATTGTAGAAGTGACCTCCTAGCCTACAATGATCCGTCAAAAAGCTTGCAATGGTTCGAAGTTTCTCCTTAGGAAGGCCTGTTTTTTTCAGATTGTGCCCTCCTAGTATGATTTTAGCTTGACAAAGACTCGTGGTGTTACGATAGTGCAGTTCCATTAACCTTCCGCAAAATCTTTCTCTCGAATACTCCAAGAGCCGAGTCATATACCAGCACGGGCATGATGAGTGACTTATAGAGAGTGATTTTTGTACATCGGGAGAGGATTTTAATTCTGAATTGACTAGTCAGTCGGAATACCTGTGTAAAAAAAAAACGGAATTCTGCTTAACTGTCAATAACCATTAATATTGTGATCCTTATGTAGTGCAATGTGCAAAAATAATGAGACTTTTAAAATATTGTTAAAAGACACTTTCGAATTATATACAGGTGACTAACCGCTAGTATTATATGCCAACAACAGTTCACAATATATTAGTTCATGGCTGCGAAATTTTAAAAGATTTTACCCTTCCCATTGAAGTCCTCTCCGAAGATGCTTTAGAAGCAAGACATATGCATCAAGTTTGGCAAATGCCAAATTCCGAATTTGAATTTTAGGTACTCTTCGTCAGACGAATTAGAATAAGTTTGCTTTTATTGAAAGTATACACGTCTAAACCTATGTTTTGGTTATTGGATTATAAAATAGCTATATTTGACACTGGGTTTTATTCAAATGGCCCATTTTGGACTAAAATAACCATATATAAAATTTAGAGGTTTTGCTACGATAAGCGTTGGATTAAGCCGATTGGTCCGATTTTTATTTTACATCTATGTACCGAGGTTACAATTTTTATTATTATATCTCAAATATTGTTAAAATTGGAGACATTTTTATTTTATGCATATATGGAAAATGGGCGTGTCCGTTGGCGGATTTGGTCAACTAACTATGCTAAATTTCATTGATGTACGACGGCTCATTATATTTTTGGCCGCAACTTATATGGGATTGTCACACTGTGTGTCCCAGTCGTCGCAATCGTGTGTTTTTATTCGCTTAAATATATTAATTTCGTTAAAAAGCTCGAAAAGTTTGTCATTCCAGCTTCTTCGGTGCACGTCGCCCACGCGAACAGGGCCATAGATCTTTCGTAGAATTGTTCTCTCAAATGCCCCCAAAGCCGTCTCATCTTTGTTAGACATCATCCAAGCTGCTGCGTCGGACGAATGGATGGGCATGATGAGACATTTGTAGGGCGTAACTTTTGTTCGACGAGAGAGTGCTCTGCTTTTCAATTGCCTACCGAGCCCAAAGTAATTGCCTTGTGTTCGAGATAAATTTCAAAGTATGCTTCCGAAATTCATTTATTTATTTATTAACTATTGCGTTTAACAATTAACAAGTTAATGGTCTTATAGCTACATATGTATATACACACATTCAAACATAATATAACCTTAATCCTAATGATGTATTTATGTATGCGTAAGGTTAACTAGATTGGAAGCATGTGGTTGCTATCAAAAGCTTTTACAAGTATGTACATCAGTTTGTAGGATAAGAAAGCATTTAATAAATCAAGTATAATAATTAAGACTATATGCGGGGCTGGTCGGCCGCTGTGGTGTAGTGGTAAGCAGTGCGCACTTCCACTCCGCAACGCCTGGGTTCAATCCCTGGTCAAAGCAACATCGCAAAAAAAAATATGGAAAAAAGGTTTTTTCTTAATAGCGGTCGTCCCTCGGCAGGCATTTCTGCCATGAAAAACAGCTTCTCATAAAAATACAATCGCCGTTCGGAGTGGGCGTAAAACTGTGACAACATCAAGGCGCACAGCACAAATCGGAGGAGAAGCTTGGCCAAAACACTAACATATGTTTAAGCCCCAATCTAAAAAAAAAAATATGTGGGGCTGGATTTAAGTACAAGCTACATAGGCGCCAGCCTAGGGGCCACATGAAAAATTAAAAAAAAATTAAAAAAAGTGAAAAATGATATATATATTTACAAAGACATCTTTGTTCGGTTTTTACCCTAATCGAAGGGGATTCACATTGTAGTATATATATATAATCCAAACTTTCAGAAAAATTTGGTTTCATCAATTTCCCAATACAAAAATGCAAAACATTATTAATTTAAATCTATTTCACACTCCAACGCAAAGACGAGGTAATTACGCATATTTGGATTACTTGACTGATTTTTTCCGACAAATAGTCTATTAACTGCAAACAATTAAGTAGGTAGTAGGTTTCAATTTTTTCACGCGTATGACTACGCGCACTCAGTTTTTTTTTTAATGAAACAAACATTTTCTTTGCTTATCCGAAAAAAAAACCTAGAGTCATATAAGCTTTCGAGTGGTAAATTTTAATAATTCTGTTTTTAATTTTCCTTAGTGCAGATCAGCAGCTCGTTAGTTCTTTCGGTGTCTCATTCCCGCTTAGAAGTACTTTGGAACTCATATTGGCGTGATTTGGAATGTGTGGCGAGAGGCCAACATCTTCATACAGTTTTACACTAGTTACGACCTAGTCCGAGTCAGATATGGTAATTACCATATAATAATTAGAGAATATTCTCACCTGTTCCTTCTGAGCAAACGGCGAAGCGAGCAGGATTTTTTTGGGAGCATTTCAGTACATCGCCCTGCAAAGACAAAAATTTAGATCATTTACTCTTTTCCACGTGGTTGTAACCTCCTTTATAAGTGATTTGATGCGTAAAGGGGAGGAGGGTTATGTCCTATGATTTAGTGATGAAGTGACGCTTCGGGATGTAGCGCCCGAAATACACTCTTACTTTTATGTATGTCTGTACATATATAGGAAGCGGGTTCAGAAGACGTTTTAAGCGTCGTCATATTTTTTTTATTTATTTAATGTTTGTTATTTTTATTAAAACTCAAGTTCATTGTATAACTAAAGCATATAAATCCGCATTGAATTATAAACATTCAAAAAATTTCAGTGTAGGTAAAATCGCAAGTTTTGAACTGACACAAAAAAACGCCGAAACACGTAAACTTAATATTGAGTTGTGGATTACGAATCTGTATTCTGCTTTTCCATATCAGGTAATTTTCCCAAGATATTTTAATTTTTATGAAAAATAGGGGGAAAAATTATATGGCCGTACACGGGTTTACTTGTAAATGGCGCGCCTTGGCGTATGAGTAACATTTTACATTAGGGTGGTTCTTAAAAAAAATGAAATTAACGATTTTTGTCAATCTCACCCCCTCAATCGGTAATACCACGGCCACAGATATCACATATAAATTTTGGTCCCGATTGGAGACGGTTAATGCGTGCCACACAGGGGCCAAAGTTCAGTTTCCTCTATAGAGACTCAAAAAATAAAAATTATTATTTTTTGAATTTGATTCCCAAAATCGGTACCACCATAGTCCAGTACAGGTACCACCATAGTCCAGTACATCACATATTAATTTTGGACCCGATTGGAGTCGGTTAAGGCGTGTCACCAAGTGGTCAAAAGTCAGATGCCTCTATGGAGATTCAAAAAATTAAAAATATTTTTTTCCAATAAATGCCCAAAATCGATACTACTAAAGTATCATCTCCAATCGGGACCAAAATTGATATGTGATTTCTTCGATTGTACTTGCATCGACGTAGGGATTGAGGCCTAGAAAATCTGATGTAAAAATTTTCTCCCTACATTTAAGGATCCCCCTAGTGTACATACATATATATATTTTTTTTTTTAGTAAATATGTATAAAGTATATTATTGTTAATGCCTTTTGCAACAATGTTTTAAAATCTGAATAGTGCAAGGAGATAAGTATAATAAAGAAACTGAAGAGCAAAAGTTCAAGTATACTTTGAAGAAGAGGTTAGTAAATAATACAACCAAATGAAATATATGTGTATATACTAGGGCTGTGCGATTATTCGATTACTCGAGCAAGTTGGTTAATCAATTATTGGGTTAATCAATTACTCGAGTAATCAAAATTTTGATTACTCAAAACGATGATTAATCGAGTTACTTGAAATATGATTACTCAAAAAAAATAATTTTGCTCGTAATAGAGTTTGCTTTGGAAAATGCTTATTTTCTTTTTTACATTCTGTGTATGAAAATTTTTTTTTTTTAATTTTTGAAAACAGAAACGTTGTTTTCAAAGTATCAAGGAACTTTAACTACTTTATACATATGTAAAGAGTTGAAATGTTGATTACTCATTTTACTCGAAATGTTGATTAATCATAAAGCATTTTACTCAAATATTTTTGTTTTTGGTTAATCAAAAATCTTGATTACTCGAGTAACTGAACTTTTGAGTAATCATAATTTCCAATTAATCGAATAATTGAGTTATTTACTTTATAATTAATTAAAATTTTGAGTAATCAATTAATCGCACAGCCCTAGTATATACCATATAGGGGTATAATGTATTTTGTATACATATTTGTATAATACATACTATACATACATATAAGTCTTATATTTGTGTATGTGTCGGTATTTAAAGCACCATTTTAACGCAGATATGTGCTTTAAGCACTTTATGTATATAAATACGTATGCATATATATGTATTTTTTGATGACTACCATTGTTCGTTTTTCCGATTATTTTAGGGCCTACAGACATATGTAACTATTCATGCATATGTACTTATATGTGTAGGTGTGCTTAGCACTTAAATATATATATATATTTATTTATTATATATATGTAGGCAGTAAACCGGTGTTTGAAGATGTTCATGGTACCCAGTCCCATGTTGGCTGTGTCCATATGTAACCGGTGTCAGTCATTGAACAATACGCATTATAATAGCGTCCCGGTGAGCTACAAGGGTATATCATTTATTTTTATTTCGCAGTAATTTTATTTAAATTTTTTGTTTTCAACCCGCTTACCGGCAGTATGAGAATTGTGGACACTTGCAGCGAAAGAGATTTTGAAATTCTTCTTTGCACACCTCATTCCACCAGCAGGTGCGCTAAGTGAATTTTAATTATAAATAAATACTAAGTAAATAAGAATTATGTAGGTATGCAAATCGGATACATACATACTTATGTACATACATATGCATGCAAGTATCTGTTTACATAGTTATTCGACACAACACTCACCTCCGCCTGATAGCCATGCACGCTTTGATCCGAGTAGCTACGTTTAGTTATGTGTCCCGCCATGGCTGCTGCGTGCCATAATAGCAATGTGCTGGCCAATATTGTCATTGGTAGCTTCGAAAAAAGAAAAACCAAAAATTGTCCTTACAACCACATAAAATACAAATACAAACTTATACATTTACACACTCTCTGATTTTCAATCGGTTTTCTAATATCCTGCAGTGTCGCTAATTTATTTATTTATTTATGATTCACACAAAGTATACGAACCTTTTTCATCTTGCCTTACAGTACTCTCCCACTTCCTTTGGCGCTGTCTTTGGTCGGCTGCCTTGTCAATCCCTATACTTCACTGTCGTCGCCTGTGTAGACCCACTTCAATTTCAATTATGTCTTAGTCTTGCTCAGCTTGATGTCTCTGTTTGTGGTTTCGTTGTACTTTTTATTGATTCCGGTTGGTCTTTTCGTTGCTGCCGTTGTTGACAACCGTAATCATAATAATACTATTCAATTTAATTCGCTGCGCGAAATTTCCTTTATTATCCTGTCATTCGCAATCACGTTCTGCTTCTTTATTTAGCATATTGTCTCACTTTCAACTTTAATTCATTACTTATACAATTATATAAATGCCCTTTCACTAATATTTACATATTTTCCACCGAGCTACATACTTGTTTAAGTTCTCTCCATTTTTGTTCTTCTTTTGTGTGTTTTCAACCTGTTTTTGTTCAACCAACAACGCCTTTTCTTTTATATTTTGTGGCCTGCGCACCCACAGAATGTGCGTTTTGTTTTGCAGATTTACTGCGGTTAACTGTGGTTTTTTATTTTACAAAAGCTGCCTCGATACGTGAACTTTGTAACAGCGATTGTTTATGTTGCCCTCGTCGGGTCAAAATGTCAAGTGTTATGCGTTGTTGCAGTCCTGTCGTATCCATGTCGGCTGTTGAGTGATTGGAATAGACGTGTGGCGAATTACATAGCCCTTCTCACAATGAACTGTCACTGTGCTTTGCTTTGAGTGGTCAATTGCGCTCTTCTCTTTCGAACACGTGCCGCGTTTAATCATTAACGGTGAAAAATCCTGTAAGAAATTTGAATATTTATTTAAAAAAGAGACTTTTAAATTTATACAATAACAAAAAAGGAAGGAGTTTATCAATTCGTCGGAATATTTTTTTATGTATTTAGGTGTTAGGCCGTGCGCACTCGGTAATAATTTTCGGAGTCGCTTCGACTCCACACAGCTACGGCCAAAGGATGCGCGCACGGCCGCTGTATTGCGTTTAGGCGGCGGATTAAACAAATATCTTTTTGCTCCCTAGCTTCTGGGCAGCCCCAACTTACATGTCCCATGAAAAGGACACCCTGTTAGATGAGGATCGAGCGCTGGCAGCCACCGAGAACCAGCAACTGGTTGTCTCGTTTGACGCAAACGTCTACAACATATTGTAGGGCAGCACCGACACTAATAATAGAGGTGACCCATAACTAAACTTCAGTATTATGAATTTAGGTTTAGAGCCGGCCTGTCGGCCATTCTGCGTAATCGTGAAGTGAGTTTAAAAGTCAAAAATTCACACCGAAATTAGTTATTTTTATCACTTCACCATAACGCAGAACGAGAATTTACCCTCTGTATGTATAACAAAAAAAGGAAGACGTTTTGTTTATAACCCTGGCTTCCGACTTGCTTTCTAAACAAGTTAAGAAATGGCGAAACTCGAATCAAAAGCCCTACTCAGACCATCGATATTTTCAATACGGAAAATATCTTAGAACTCCCCAAGCCGGGAAAAGCTATTAACTTTTAGTCCTTTTGGCGGAGTTACACCAATCACGAGTTCTAATAATTATTATGCAGTGAAAACTCAATTCAGTCCCCCGGATATATAGTTTTTTAATGAGGCTGTGCAAATCGTCGATGCATGTAAGTTACCTGTTGCGTAGTTTATAGGCGCAGCTCGAGAACGAAAACAGCTAGCGAAACAAATTTAAGGATCATTCCATGTAAAAGAGGAAAACATCATAAATTTAAATATGCCATAATCATCTTCATTTCAGTAGTAACCTCTTCCTAAATGACTACATTTCATTCATCTGTTGAGAACTATTAAAATAATAAAAAGAAGTTGAAATTTTTAATTGTAAGTTGGAGACTTTTGAAAGTTTACAAATAAGTATGATAGCGACTTTTGCAAGAATAGTTAACAATTGATGGTATTTTTTTAGTATATAGAAAGATTTTGCACTGTGTTGTTAGTGGACATGAAACTACTTTACATACTGGTGCGTTACCCACCAAAAACTAAAAATCGAAAAAATTTTACATAGCGCACTTTGCAAGGGGACTACTCAAATGAGGAGAAATTATTTTTATTGGATAAAAATTACCTTTACCTTGGCGTTTTCAATTTTCTTCCTGTTTTTAACCTGAAACAGTATGCAGTGAACATTTTAAAAAATGATCAACAAATATTTTTGGCCCTATTGCATTAAGGAATGCATTTTAATGGTTACAAGAATCGAGAAGGGCATTTTATCTTTGTTTTAAGATTTCATTAAATACTGTTTTAGGTGGAAACATACAAAAAAAAAAATTAAAAGTTTTACTTTTTTTTTAAATAATTTCGAAGGTCATTGAATCGAAAATTTCTCTGACATTTAAACTATCCTTTAAAGGTAAAACTTTTGATTGTTTGTATTATTATTTTTTAAATAAAAAGAACATGTAATAAACTTTCCACATACTGAAAATGGATTCCTTGATGCAAGAAAAGTAAAAAAATGTATTTAAAACTTCTCAATACGTTCACTAAATACTGTGGAGAGATATATACGTATATTCACGGCAAACCATGTAGGCGATAGCTACATCCTTTGCGTAACTCCCTGTTCTATTCCTCATGCTTGCCCATTCCTGCTCTACACAGTGCTCGGTCAGGAATCTATAGTCCATACACGTCCGATGTAATTTCGCTTATGGTGCATTAAATTATGTAAATAGATGTGCGAAATTATTATTTTTTTTGGCTTGATGATAGCCAACAAATTTCCAAAGCATGCAGTGCATTTCGATTCTTTTCGAATTCCCCATTTAATGCATGTGCTTATCTTTCTTTAGCGCTTTTCAACCCACGTACGAAGACATTTTTATCTAGTAAACAAATAAACGATCGTTTACGCAAAATAAAACTTTCATTTCATGTTTATTGCCAATAACAAATTTTTGTTTATACATATGTATGTAGTATGTATATTAGACTGCATCACCAAAAAAAGTTGCGGTTTTTCCGCCGGGATTATTATATTTATTATATTTTAAGACGTCCACCAAAATATTTCGGAAAAATATTAAGATTTAAGCGAGCTGGACCGATTTGAAAATACCTCCAAAAATGAAGCTTTTTATGAATAAAAATAGTTTCTTAAAGAACTTTTTCAAAAAAGTCCCCTTAGATGACAAATTAGATTAAGCTTAAGAAATCTGCATAAAAATATTTAAAAATGCTTTCAACGGAATCGTAAGAATGAAATTTTTGATGCTTTTTTTTCACTTTTTTCAAAGATTGGTTTACGAAAAACTTGAATAACTGGGTCAAAAATGTTCTAATTTAGACTTGTGGGATCTCAGTAGAAAGGTATTATCACACTGTGTTTATTTCTGGCCAAAAAAAAACGTCATTCGTGTCCCATCTTGATTTTTCGAATACCAACACATCTTAATTCCACTTTGAATTACGTTCGTTCATCCTACCTTTCTCTTCCATCGTTTGAATGAGTTTATTAGCAGAGAAATAAAAAGGGTGAGAAAATACCTTTCCAATGATATCTCACAAGTCTAAATCGGGAGAGTTTAGGCTCAGTTATTCAAGTTTTACTTATACCAATCTTTGAAAAAAGTTAAAAACAGCATCAAAAATCTCATTATCACGATTCCGTTCAAATTTTTTTTTTTTAATTTTTTTAAAATATTTTTACGCAAATTTTTTAAGCTTAAACCGTTTTTCATTTGAGGGGATTTTTTCAAAAAAAATCTTTAAGAAACTATTTTTATTCATAAAAAGCTCCTTTTTTGGAGGTATTTTCAAATCGGTCCAGCTCACTTAAATCTTAATATTTTTCCGAAATATTTTGATGGACGTCTTAAAATATAATAAATTTTATAATTCCAATGGAAAAATAGTACCGATTTTTTTTGTATGGGGAGTGATGCAGTCTAATGTATATATGTATGTACATACATTGTACATGTATTTTTCTACTTCCCAGCCAGCAAG